TGGGGAGGTGCACTCTCTCACCCGTAAAACTGTGGTACAGGACGTTTTAAGCGAGTGGGGCACTTTTATTGTCAATCCTCATCTTTGTTACTGAACCCGATCTCGATGGACTGACGGTTCTTAAGGTGGCGATTGTGGGGCATATACTCATGGTGCACCCCTGGGGGAGGCCCCGTCTTGTCAGGTGTTCTATCCTCTAATTATGGCTACATGGTGGGTATGTGGCCTTATATGTGAATGAAACTATCACCTGCTCGTTTCTATACTGTTGAATGATCCTCTTACAACTTCCCAGACTCGTGGGGTGGGCGACCAAGACCCCGAGTTGGACTGTGTTGGAAGACTGACTCTGTAGCCTCTGCTACGTTGGGCCCAGACCAAGCTACTCTTTTGACCCAATTACCCCACTGCCCTCCCTCCTCTGTGGTAGGGTTGAGCCTCAAGCCCCCAGTGGAACTCTACCTCCATCCTCCACCTCATTACTTGGAGTGGCTACTTCTCTCATTGTGATAACTGTGCCTTTTAACCCCATCCCCCACAGACACACTCACACGATTCTTTCAAGTGCTAATACGTTCCACCCTTTGCTTGGTCCTGCTTTCTCTACCTCCATCCCCAGCTTTTGCTGGGACCCATGACTCTACTGTGCTCTTGATTTGTACTGATTCTCCCTTCGTCCCCCTTACTTTTTCAGTCCCCTATCCAGTGTTCTGTGGCACGTATCTTTGTGAGTAAATGGTATACAGTCTGTAACGTTTAGCTCCCCCCCCCCCCCATAGTGTCCCACTTTCTCTTCCTGATCTTCAGCACCTGTTGGCTCTCCTTATCAGAGTCTGCTCCTGTTGAGTGATTTCAACTGTCGGCATACCCACTGGGATGATATTCTGACACACACTCAGGGTCACCTTCTCGAACTATTTGTCCTCTCTTCTTCCCTGTCCCTTCTGAATTCATGTTAACCCACTCATGTTGACTCCCGCACTCGTATCCTCTCCTGTCTTGATCTTTCTCTCTGCTCGTCGTCTCTTTACTTAGATTTTGTGGTAGGTTCTTGATGACCGCCATAACAGTGACCATTTCCCCATCCTTGTCACCTTTTTCTCTTTTCACCCTCCCCTCTCCTTCCCTAGGTGGCAGTTTGCCAAGGCTGACTGAAACCTATTCACCCTCCATGCTATTCTTTCTGACCTCCCCATTCTGCCTTTCCCTTGCACCCTCCTCCTTTTTCCTGATACCATATTCGACGCTGCCCTCCGCTCTATTCCTCACTCTACCTCCCGGGGCACGTGGAAGGGTGTACCCTGGTGGAATGCAGACTGTTCTAGGGCTGTCTGCTGTAAGCGTGCAGCCTGGAAGAAGCACAGACGCCGGCAGACGGCTGATACTTTTATTTTATTTCAGAAGACAAATGCAGTAGCCCTTAGAACCATCTGCACAGCTAAACGTGAGAGATGGAAATCTTGTCTCCATGATTACGTCCAATACTCCTCTGCCCAAGATCTGGAAGAAAATTTGCAAGATAGTGGGCAAGTTTGTTCCAGATGTCTCGCCAGTCCTTCACCTCCGTGGTCGGTTTTACGGTGGCGGGCTCCGATGGCATTCATTATGAGATGCTTCACCATCTCTCTCCATGCACGTCTCAGTAATTACTGAGTCTGCTTAATCAGGTCTGGGAGTCGTTGTCAGTCCCTTAGGACTGGCTCGATACTGTTGGTCTCCCTGTTCGGAAACTAGGGTCTCTCGGGTCATCCCCCAAGGACTTTCTCCCTATTGCCCTCACGAGTTGTGTCTGCAAGCTCTTTGAACGTATGGTTAATGTTCGTCTGATGTGGTTCTTAGAACACTATCACCACCTCTCCCCTTCTCAATTTGGTTTTCGCAAGTATCGCAACACGACGGATGTCCAGGTGAACTTAGAGGTCTATATTCGTACTGCTTTTGCTGCGAAGACCTCCGTTGTTGCCGTCCTTTTTAACCTGGAAAATGCTTACGATACTACCTGGCAGTATCATATTCTGCCCCAACTTCATTCTTTTGGCCTTCGTGGTAATCTCCCTCTCTTCCTCCAAAGTTTCTTCTCTCGTCGTTCTTCTCGAGTGAGGCTTGGTACCTCTTTCTCTGCCCCTTTTCGGCAATATCAGGGTGTGCCCCAACGTAGTATTCTGAGCAGTACTCTCTTTCTAGTTGCCCTCAATGGTCTTCTTTCCTCCTTTCCTTCTGGCGTCTTCTCCGTTCTCTATGTTGACGATCTTACCCTTTGCTGTCGGGGTGATGATTCGCCTCTCCTTCAACGGCGGCTTCAACTTGCGATTGATGCCGTGTCGTCTTGGGCCACCGATCATGGCTTCAAGTTTTCTATGTCTAAGACTTGTGCTATGACTTTTATTCGGATGCTTGTCGTTCTTCGTCCCTCTTTGTCGCTTTATGGTCATACCCTTGTGTACAGGGATTCCGCTAAGCTTTTGGGGTTAATCTTTGACACTCGTTTGTCTTGGTCGCCCCATATCTCTTACCTCGGAGTTGAATGCTCTCAGGCCCTTACCCTCCTTAAGGTTTTGTCCCATACTTCTTGGCGGGCAGATAGGCGCTCGCTCCTCTCTTTACATTCCTCTCTCATCTTGTCTAAACTCGATTATGGTTGCCCTGTTTACTCGTCTGCTTCTCCTTCTACTCTTCACCGTCTTGACGCTTTGCACCATACTGGGTTGCGCCTCAGCTCTGGTACCTTTCGTTCGACTCCCGCCCTCAGCTTGTATGTTGACACTGGCTTCCTATCTCTCCAGGACCGCCGTGATCGCTACTGTCTTTGCTATCTTGCGCAGTCCTTACAACATCCTTCCTCTCGCCTCTTTCGTGCTTTGACTTTTACCCCACCTGCAGTTCCTGTTCCTCTTCACCACCTCCCTCTTTCTGTCCGGCTATATCGCTTACAGAATTCTGTTTCAGCTCGTATTTCTAATGTTTCTCCTCGTATGTTTCTCCTCCTTCTTTGCCCCGTGGAGAGTCTCCCTTCCAAAGTTTTGTTCATCCTTGAGCCTCATCACTAAAGCTTTTACCCTTCTATGGTTCTGAAATGTCTTTTCCTGGAGCACTTGTCTTCGCACTCCTGCTCTGTTTCTATCTTCACCGATGGGTCTAAGTCTGCAAACGGTGTAGGCTACTCTGTTGTTTTTCCTGACTGCACTTGTATGTGTCGCCTTCCTTCAGAGACTAGCATCTTCACAGTGGAACTTTATGCTATTCTCTATGCTCTCCGTCTCCTGCTTTCTCATTGTCAATCATTCTTTACAGTTGTCTTTGACTCTTGTAGTGCCCTCATGGCTCTAGGGTCCTTTAATCCTGTCCATCCGGTCCTTGTCGAGATTCAACATTGGCTGTTTCTTATTTCTAGTACATTTAAATCTGTAGAGTTTTGCTGGGTTCCCAGCCATATTGGTGTTTCTTGTAATGAGCATGCGGATGCTGCCGATAGAGAAACTATCCGCTCTTGTCCCATCTCCCGTAAAGGTATTCCTTATTTAAACTTTTACCCGGTTATTCATTCCTCCATCCTTGCCCGTTGGCAGGGTTGTTGGTCGTCTGTAGTTGGTAACAAGCTGTGTACTCTTAAGCGTAGTGTGTCCTTGTGGCCTTACTCCTGCCACCGTAACCGGCAGTGGGAAACGGCTCTAGCAAGGTTGCGTATTGTCCATATTCACTTAACTCACAGTTACTTAATGGAGCATCGCCCTACTCCTTATTGTCCAAATTGCATTGTTACCTCTTACAGTCATGCATATCCTTGTTGAATGTCCAGACTTCCAGGATGAGCGTGTGTCTTGCTTTCCGACCGTCCCTCGCGGTCACTTGTCCCTCGATAGAATTCTTGGTGAATCGGATACTTTTGATATAGTTCGCCTTATGCGATTCTGTTCTCGTATTGGCATCCTTGGTGATATTTAGCGCCCTCTCATTATTTTGCACATTTGATGGTGCTACATAGCCTTCCTGGTTAGGTGCCTTCTTTTGATAATTACTTACTTACTCGTAGAGTAGCCCCCTTATTTTATGAGCCTGATATATGTATCAGTACACACAGAAATCACAATAGTGTGATGCATCAAATGAACAAATCCACAAGGGCCGTGGCGAGCAAACTTGACCTACCACGGATCATCATGGTAGGTCAAGGTCGTGGTATTCCCTCGGGTGCAAGGGGGAATTGTGTAAAAACATGCTTTGTGTCTCGGAGAGACTGCAGGATCCGTGGTAGGGCAAGTTGATTTCCCGGTTACAATTTTTTTATATGTCGTAGCTCAGTTGATTAAGGCTCGTCTGGGATCCTCTCGGACGTAGGTTCGAACCCTCGTCACGGCCCTTGTGGATTTGCTCATATGTATCAGTATTAATAGCCTCTATTCATTAACAACATTAGGTAATAATTATATAAGGAACAGGATTTGCCTGTAGCCAACTGTACCAGAGTCTTCATGTGATCAGTTGATCTGATATCCCGTGTATCAAACTGTTGAGCTCTCTCTCTCTCTCTCTCTCTCTCTCTCTCTCTCTCTCTCTCTCTCTCTCTCTCTCTCTCTCTCTCTCTCTCTCTCTCTCTCTCTCTCTCTCTCTCTCTCTCTCTCTCTCTCTCTCTCTCTCTCTCGAAATGTGGATTCCTGAAAAATCTCACCATTGTGTATTATTCACTGGAGTTCTGGCTTTAACTGACAAGACACTGACGGGTGACCATGGGAGGGGGTAAGGGGGAATGGTCGATACGGAGTGGGGGGCAGTGGTGAGGGATAATGGAAGGGGGGTGGCAGGGCAGAAAGACAGAAAAGAATCACGAAGGAAGAAAAGAAATAGGAAGTTGAAGGACAGGCAGAAGAGGTAAAGCTAGAGATCAACATGAAGGTTAGTTTGGAGAAGAGATGAAGTGTGTGTGTGTTGGGGGGGAGGGGGGATGGAAGGGAAAAAGAAGGACGAGTGTGTTATGAGTGTTACCGTCCTCCTCGGTGTTGCAGGTGTTGCGGTGGGCAGTACAGACGGTGTTCCTGAGCTGGGGCTTGGTGTTGTGTGTGACCTTCCTCTACGGCGGCAGCAGGATCATCCGGCTCCTCCGTAACATCCCCCACGCCGCCTTCCAGGGAGGCGAGCCGGGCGCCCCCAACAACAAGGGTAAGGAAGCCTCCACAGGTCGCTCCAACCACTTGCGCGGCTCACTGTGCACCCTCGGCGTCGCTTCTTGCAGGGTCGGTGCTCAATCCCCGATGGTCCATGTGGTTGGGTCACCTTCCTTTCTCTTCTGTTCTTATATGTCAGGCCATACATGCTTTGTGGATTCTCCCGTTGATTACCTTACCTCCGCCACGATCTAGGTTTGTACGGTGCTCAGGTTTACAGGATATTAAGTTTGGGTTACAGGATACTAAGTTTGGTTTACAGGATACTAAGTTAGGTTTACAGGATACTCAGGTTTTCAGGATGCTGATTTGGCATTATAGGGTACTTTATTAAGTTTTACAAAATAGTAAGTTTACAGCATATACCCAGTTAGGTTTACAGCGTACTCATGTTTTACTAGACACTCAGATTTACAAGAGTTCACGATAATCAGTTAATGCTTCAGAATGTCTGATTAAGTTTTTATAATAATAAAACATAATATTTTAACATTAACATAATATTTTATGTTAACTTTTACTAATAAATAACCAATTTTGTAATATATAAATAATTATAAGAAAATAACTATGATTATCTGAGTCATAGTTGAATCGTTGTTGAATTTTCTGAATCGTTGCAGGGATTTTGCAACTGGCACTCCTGGCGCAGTGCAACAACATCGCGTCGTCTGTGCTGACGGCGGCCACTCCGTCACTCCTGGCGCCCAAGATTAAGATCACCGACGAGTTCGACCACACCTACTCCTACGTCTCCGAGGGCTCCCGCGTCCCCTCTCTCCACTACGGTGATATGGGTATATCTCCCGTCGCTGGGCTCATTGAGGTCGCTTGGCACGCCTTGAGGGCCTCCCCTTGGCACGCCTTGAGGGCCTCAACTTGGCACGCCTTGAGGGCCTCCCCTCACTGCTAGCTTTTCTGCTCAGAGACTGCTGAGCAGAGACCCCTGAACAGGGGACTGCAATCCCCTAATTTCTCTCTGGTTATTAATTACTGGCCTCCTGTCACTGGGCACTGTATGGGCACTCCACGTTTGTAACCTCTCAGAGGGCACTTAACCCTGGCACCGTTCTCACAATTATCTGGATATTGATCACTGAGAGTAGAACTTAGAGGAGAAACGATGCAAGACAGTAGTGGGGAAAATAATATTTCAGATTTCAAAATTACAGAGCACAAGGGAAAAATCTTCTTTCACAATAACAATTTAATATATTCCTGGAAATAATGTATTCATTGAAATCAATATACTGTATTCATTTCAATAAATATATTCACTTAAAAAACCTGTTAGATAAAAAAAATGAGTTCAACGATTTTAAATAGGTGGAATTTCCCAAACTTATTTGAGTCAGTTTAGTCCACCAGAGACCAGGAACACGTCTTGTCACATATCTCAGAGTTTACTCATGTATCTTTGTGGTTTTTTTTTGACGTTTCAGTGCTGAAAGTTCTTTGATAAAGTTCAATGAAAGGTTACGTACCGGAGGTTTGTTAAGTTGTATAAGCCATACACATTATTAGGTAAATATATATATGTATATAAGTATGTCCCCACCTCTTTAGTATGTGGCACTAACAACAACCTTCTCCTTCACTACAGATTCGGCCCCAACTTCAAGAAGGCCTTCATCCCGAGCCTCCGTCGGAGGTGACTCCGCTATCGCCTCCACCTCAGGTACCACTTTCTCATCCACTTCCTTATACTCCCCCCCTCCCTATCCGGCTCGTTGGAGCCGTGAGGGGGCTTGGTGGTCGGCTTCCGGAGTGTGATGCTCCACGGGACAGTCCTCTGTCCTTTTGTAGCCTTATGCTCCTGCTGCTGTCTTCTCTAATTTTGCCGGATCGCTTTTCCATTTCCTTATGTTTCGTTTTTGTTTCATTATCCCCCCTCTTCTTCTTTCTAATTGTCATTTCCTGCCGACCTTTTGCTGTTTTGATTATTCTTTTGGACTTCTTCTATTTTGACACCCGGGTGTTTGAGGAGGCATACTCTTGCACCCATATAACTGTAGTTCCCGACGTCGAGAGTGAGGGGACCCTTTTATTGTCAATCCTCCTTTCGTCACTGAACCCGATCTCGACGAACTGACGGTCCTAAAGGCGGCGTTTGTGGGGCATATACTCACGACGCACTCCTAGGGGGCCACAACATGATCGGCAATAGCTTCTTGTTTGGTGTCCTGCCTCTAATTGTGGCTCCATGGTGGGTATGGGGGCACATTCGTGAATGAATGTCTGACTCTCGTTTTCATGTCAAATTCCGTTATTCTTATCCCTTCTCAGGCTCGTGGGGTGGGCGACAAAGCCCCCGAGTCGGACCATGTTAGAAGACTTGGCTCTGTAGCCACCGCTGCTTTGGGCCCTAACCTTGCTCCTCCTTTGACCCTCCTGACTACTTCCCTCAGCTTCCCTCCCTCTGCGGTTGGGTCGAGCCACAAGCCCCCGGTGGTGACCACCTCGACCCTGGCACGGCTCAGTCTCTTATTGTGACTACTGCACCTTTTAACCCCTATCTCTCTCTTGGGGTTCTCAGTGTCGTCCACACCATGGCCGCACTCGCACGATCCCTCCCCGTACTGATGCGTACCAAGCCTTGTTTTGGTCCCACCTCGTGAGCCAAATACTTTGATCTGCTCCCTCTGGATTCTACACCACCTGACGATTTCTCCCTCCATAGGCACCTTGTTGATTCAGTAGATGCCTCTGTTACTTTTATCCCCACCTGTCTCGGTACGTGTGTCATTGCTGCTCCTTCCAAGGATGCAGCTGCCCGCTTGGCTGCCTTATCCTGCCTTGGCGAGACCCCTGTTCGGGTCTCCAAGAACGCTCGGTTGAATGCCAGTGTTGGCACTGTTTTCCTCCTGCCCCATGTTACCTCCGGTGTTTGGAATCTACAGGACTGCCACGAAGATATTCGGTATATCCTCAAAGCCCAGGGCCATTCTGTCCTCCAGGTGGACACGTTTACTTGTTCCCCTCATGGTTGTCGCCGTCAGCCCCTTCGAGTTGTGAAGATTATCTTTGATGGTAGGACCCTTCCGCCCTCTGTCATTCTTGCTGGTGCCAGGTGCTCCGTCCAAGAGTACATTTCCCCTCCTCGGCTCTGTAATAAGTGCTGAAGGTTTGGGCATGGTGCTCTCTGATGCTCCGGTACTGTCTCTCTCTCTCTCTCTCTGTCCCTTGTGTGGAGACGAAGGTCACTCTAAGTTGGAGTGCTCTTCTCCCCAGGCTCGCTGCCTCAATTGCAGTGAGGCCCACCCAGCCTTCTCCTGTGCGTGTCTGCATTACATGCTTGAGGCGGCCGTCCTCAACTTGAAGCACCAGTTACGTTTATCTTTTCCTGAGGCGAGGCGCCAAGTTTGCCGTCATCTCCCTTACACTAATGTCTCTTATGCTTACTCGTCCGCTTCTCCTTCTACTCTTCGCTGTCTTGATGCTTTGCATCATGCTAGGTTGCGCCTCAGCTCTGGTGTCTTTCGTTCGACTCCCGTCCTCAGCTTGTATGTTGACACTGGCTTCCTATCTCTCCAGGACCGCCGTGATCGCTACTGTCTTCGCTATCTGGCGTGGACCTTGCAACATCCTTCCTCTCGCCTCTGTCGTGCTTTGACTTTTACCCCTTCTGTAGCTCCTGTTCCTCTTCACCACCTCCCTCTTTCTGTCCAGCTATCTCGCTTACAGGACTCTCTTTCCATTCGTCTTTCTCATATTTCTCCTCATATTGTTCCTTCCTTACCCCCATGGAGGGTTCCCCTTCCGAAGATTTGTACATCTTTGACCCACATTACTAAAGCTTTTACTCCTCCTACAGTTCTGAAACGCCTTTTTCTTGAGCACTTTTCTTCACACTCCCGCTCCGTTTCCATCTTCACCGATGGATCTAAGTCTACGAACGTGTGGGCTACTCCGTTGTTTTTCCTAACCGCACTTATATGTGTCGCCTCCCTTCGGAGTCTAGCATCTTCACAGCGAAACTTTATGTTATGCTCTATGCCCTCCGTCTCGTGCTTTCTCGTTGTCAATCCTCCTTTGTGGTGGTAGTTGACTCTCGTAGTGCCCTCATGGCTCTCGGGTCCTTTAATCCTGTCCATCATCTGGTAATCGTCGAGATTCAACATTGGCTGTTTCTTATCTCTAGTAAATTTAAATCTGTAGAGTTTTGCTGGGTTCCCAGCCATATTGGTATTTCTTTAAATGAGCGTGCGGATGCTGCCGCTAGAGAGGCTATCCGCTCTTGTCCCGTTTCCTGTAACGGTATTCCTTTTTCCGACTTTTTCCCTGTTATTCATTCCTCCATCCTTACCCGTTGGCAGGGTTGTTGGTCTTTTGTGGTTGGTAACAAATTGCATTATCTTAAGCATTGTGTGTCCCCATGGCCTTCCTCATGCCACCATCACCGGCAGTGGGAAACGGCTCTAGCAAGGTTGCGTCTTGGCCATACTCGCTTAACTCACGGTCACTTAATGGAGCGCCACCCTGCTCCTTATTGTCCAAATTGCGTTGTCCCTCTTATCGTCGTGCATATCCTTGTTGAATGTCCTGACTTCCAGAACGAGTGTGTCTTGCTTTCCGATCATCCCTCGCGGTCACTTGTCCCTCGATAGAATTCTTGGTGACTCGTATACTTTTGATATTGTTCGCCTTAAGCGTTTCTGTTCTCGTATTGGCATCCTTGGTGATATTTAGCTTTTGTACCCCTTTAACGTTGTATCATCTATGAATCTGTTCACAAGTGACACAAACCTTTTTTCTGGGGGGTTGAGTGTTGGTGTGCCGATGGTGTTTGAGTGAATAATATTGTAATGAGCCATAAACGCTCACATCTTCCACCCCCACCTCTTCCATCCCCACTTCTTCCACTCCCTACCTCTTCTACCCTTTACCTCTTCCATCCCTACCTCTTCCACCCCCTTACCTCTTCCACCTACCTCTTCCACCCCTAACTCTTCCACAAAAGCCTCCTCATACGCTATTCTTTAAAATATATATATAAAAAATCTGAACTTTTGCAATAGCCATGCCACATTATTATCAAACAGTTTAGGAGACACCTGTATTTCTTTATAAGAACATTATTTTATAAGAATATGTTGTCTATTGTGAATTAATATGTATAATATTCCTTGTAAGATGTTGTATAGCTGGCATATCTATCAAGATAGTTTCAGTGCTCGACGTCGATCAAAACATATCTAGTTGTCCGTGTGTCATTGTGTTCGTAAGTCAAATAGTTTGATATATTGAGATAAATAAACACTCATATGTTCAGCACTATGGAGGAGCTGGCGGGCATAGAATTAACAGCGAAAGCGGTGAGAAAGCTTGTCGAGGTTCATGATATGACACAGACTGCTGTCCACCTGGGCTGTAGGAGACTCCAGCCGCGGCCCCTCACCTTCAAACCGGGGTCCGCGGTACCAGTCTCCTACAGCCCAGGTGAATGGAATGTTTATTTCCATGGAAGTGTGGATGACAATGTACACAGACTCTTGGTTTTGTTGCAGATCATGCCATGGTTGCTGCAACACGGACCACCATCATAAAGATATCTAGCGTGAATTGATCGTTGCAGGTATGAGAGTGTTCGAGGACGAGACCCCAGACATCGCCGAGGAGAGCGAGGATCAGGAGTCAGTGACGACGTCGCCCACACGGCCAAGGAGAGGGTCAGGTCTCGGCTCCTCACCTACTGAGCACAGCAGCTGTGGCTCACCCTCTGTAGAACACAGCACCTGGGGCGCCAAATCCCCCAAGACCCACAGACCGGAGGAAGCGAAAGGCAAGAGGAAAAAATCGCTCCACGAAAACAACAAATCGGCCAACATCGTCATCAGAGTGGAGGAGGTGGGAGGTGGGGACGGGGGTGGCAGCGAGGTGCCAGACGATGTGTCGCTGGGCCACGAGCGTGATGACATTGCCTATATAGACAAAAATGGACCCGAAGTGAATGACAGGGAAGACTGGGTGAATGGGGTCGAGGTGGCAGTCACTAACGATGCCAATAGCGAGGTGGGAATTAAAGGCATCATTCATAACGTCCCGTCTATAAAACTGATAGATTCTGTTTTAAAATCAGAAACTCCTTCAGAGGAGACGGCCAAAAACTGCGGTGATGCGAGAAAAGGAGGTTTTTGTGAGTTCAAAAACGTCGAGAATGACATAAAATCTGTTGTTAAAAATGATGACAGTGAACAGTTAAAAATTAGCAATGGTGAGGATTTGGTTCCAAAACGCAAAAAGAGTTTGACATGGTCTGAGGACACGCAGACAATTGAAAGTTGTGATAAAGACAACGAGAGTAAGAAAGTAGCAGAGCAGGACACAAATGAAAGACACTTTAAAGATAAGCCAAGGCGAGCCAGCACTTCCAGCAGAAGAAGCAGTCATCGCAGCAGTGAGAAGACTAAACTGCGGCACACTCGTTCCTACGAGCTGGGCGGCGACGCCGGCGGCAGGAGGAGAAGCAGCACCGCGTCTTGTTCGAGTCGCAAGGGGAATGACAGTTGGCAGGCACTGCCGGGTCCCTGCCACAGAGACCTCCGTAGCCTGGGCTCCTCCTCGCCCTCCACCACTCGCAGGGGCAGCAGGAAAAGCGTCAAGGATGACGCCGAAGTCGAAGCGCTGCTGGCGCGCTCGCCCGAGAGCCGCGCAGACGTCACTCTCACCTCCATCCTCAACCACATCGCTTACGTCAACCAGACGGCGGCGGCCTCGAAGCTCCCCACCACCTTCAAGGACTCCAGGAAGTCCCAGGTGCAGCAGGTGAGACCTGGGAACGAAGTGTCATCTAAATAAGGCTCGTGTCTTTTAATGGTTTAAAAAATATTAAAATGTGATGTATCTTTGAGAAAATATTGGGGCCATACAATGGGATCGAACCCTGGCTTCCCCAGTCACACGTCATGGCTTCAATATTTTTCTGATTTAAGGTATATTGAGCAGCAGTCGTTCAATAACAATTACACATAGATTTCCAATATATCTATGTGTAATATATTAATAGTCATACCTCTGGCACTAATTAACCAGTGGAAGTCTGTAATTATTTATCTGCAGTTTAATATCTGTATAAAAGTACATGTGGCTTGTATTCATCGCACTTGTACACATGTATTTGGTTGTCAGTGTTGAATGCTGGGTGTCGGGGAAACTACTTACCTTGCTGACGACGCTCTCCTGCGTATTGTAGCCCCCTGACTCTGGTCCTCTGGCAGGTGATGCTGGTGACGTACGTGACGGCAGCGCTGGGCACTCTGCTCTCCCTGGCTCTGGTGTACGGCCTGTATGGCCGCTTCAGCTCCCCGATGGTGGTGCCAAGGCCGCCCTGGCTCTGGTTCACCTACGAGTCCACCTGCAGGTTCCTGGAGTTCCTGATGGGATGTGCCATGGCTAACATCACCCGGCAGCCCGTCAACAGACACCCTCAGTACCCCTACTCCCTCCGGCTTAAGCAGAGGAACTCCCTCTACATTTAATGACAACACAGCGTCCTTGTTCATTAAGACTCGTCCCGGAGGCGTTGCCAGCCGTGGCTCACCCTCAAGATAATTTCTGAGATGGTCTGTTGACTTGTGGTTCACAAGACACCTCATCACAGACTGTGGGTGCCAGCGAAGTAACTGGTTCAGTGTTATAATACACACTAAAAAGACTCCTGTGTTATCGCTCCCAAATCAGAAAGACATCAATCCCCCCCCCCCCATCCTTACGATGTCGTAAAGTTGTGGTTAGATACAACTGTGTGTATATATATATATATATATATATATATATATATATATATATATATATATATATATATATATTCCCCTCCCATTAGCATTGGTATTTTTCCTTTTTAAACGGACAAAAATAAATGAGTTTTAGTTTAAAAATTAAGTTAATGTTTTGTCTTAATGTCGCAGTAAACACGAACTATTTCTTTGATTGTAAATACGAAATACAACACACAAGGTGTTTGCCCCTCAGGATCCTTCACGTACAATTGTAATCTCAGTAAAGTAAAAGTTCATATTGAACTTTGAACTGAGTTGTCTGGATGTGAAATATTAATAATAAAAGAATTGAGACAAAGATGTAGACGACTGGAACATTCCTTTAGGAGGATTCGCCCCTAAATCACACACACACACAGTTTGAGGTTTCTGCTGAATGTAAATATTGGGAAAGTGTGGATTTTTATTTACATTTTGTGTTTTTTTAATGTAAATGTCGTGTGTAATTGAAGATTTTGGTTTACATCCTGTGTTTCTTTTGAATGTAAATATGGCAAGAATGCAGATTCTGTTTCAGTGAGTACATTTTTGGTGTCGTAGGTTGAGAGAGGCTTAGAATAGAATACAACTGTGTTCTCGTGGATTGCGAGAGGTGTTCCTCAGGGCAGCTGTGTCATGATGGAGAAGCTTCTGTGTAATATAGGAAATATGTGGGGTGACAGAGTAGCGGAAGTACATGGGAAACATGAGCAGTTAGCTAATTGGTAGTGATTGATAAGGTCGGGATATTATGTCAACACTTATTATCACCTACACCGCCACGACAATTACCTTCGTTAAAGCCACCACGACAATCACCTGTGTTAAAGCCACCTCGACAATCACCTGTGTTAAAGCCACCACGACAATCACCTGTGTTAAATCCACCACGACAATCACCTGTGTTAAAACCACCACGACAATCACCTCCGTTACAAGTTCCACGACAATCACCTCCGTTACAAGTACCACGACAATCACCTCCGTTCAAACCACCACCATAACGACAATCACGTTCTTCGTCTAGACCAAAACAATTACTTTAACTGCCAACACTGCGACGTCAGCACTACGCCAATCACCACCACCACTGTCAGCACAAGCTCGACCTTCACCACCATCCCCTCACAACTCTGCTCCTCCACCATCACCAACACTTCCACACTTGCATCACCACCACCGGCACCACCATCACCATCACCACACACACACACACACCAGTGATACACATGAAACTGGTGTATCTACATCACTCATTATTAATTTATACTTATGTAAATCGGTGTTTATACTCTTTTTATGTGACTGTTGAGAATGGTAATTATGGAATAGGTATTTGGTGCAATCATTGCTGTGGGGTTTCTTTTGAGGCAGGAAATTAAAAAAAAAAGTGTTATTCTATGTTTTGCTTTATGTCCTAGTTACACGACTCATTATTAAATATTTCATCAGTTAAAGGATGCAGGATGTTGTAACATCAGGTGCTGTTACAACAGTATTGCCACAGAGGAGGATGTACATACAAGCTGTGTGAGAACAGAAGGACATTTATCTTGAGTTCAGGTCACTGGCGGCAATGGTGTTTACAAAACGACACGCAAACAGCCGCGGGGTATAAACTGACTACTGTAACACTTTATACTAATTTGAAATTTCACAGTGCACAGTATCAACTGCTGCTGTGACAGGTATCAATGGTAAGAAGTGGAATTGAGCGCCACTACATTACGCAATCCATCCATGGGAACCAACTCCAAAGCACATAACTTTGACGGATTTTATGCATCATAAAGACGCACTTCAGTGACACGTCGTTGTGTGACTTGGACGAGACCAGCTCAAGGCTTCGTACAATGAACGCCACGAAAGCAACTCGAGCGGCAACTGGGAACATTGTTTGTGGCTAGTGAAGAGTGGCAGACTATTGCTAGCGGCTAACGAAGTGTACCACAACATTGTTTCCGGTTGAGAGATGTCAGAGGCGAGTCATGCAGTTCTTGCTACTGTGCCACAACTAGTCTCAGGTGTGGGATAGAAGGTACGACGGTTGTTTCTGTCGAGTCTTGGGATGTAGAGGCGGCCCGCACCGACCCTCTCAGTGGTCCGCGACTCCACCCACCACGCCAGAGCTCCGTCAACAATTAATAATAATTGTTGACGTTTCAGCAAGGACGATTTTTTTTCATATTAGCTAGATGCATTAATAATTCATATCGTAATCATTATTTATCTTTAAAAATATAGCGGCTGCCTTCGGCTACTGCTGTTGCGATAGCACCGGTTGTCCTGACTACCTGAGGAGGCTCGACACACAGCCTTCCACTTTCTTCAGTCTGCCCTGGGGACACATGCGGATGGAGAGGTGTTTTTGTAAATGTTGTTTGTGTGAGTCTTCATGTCCAGTCTGACATGTGTTGTGATTTCAAATAAACTGGACGTTGGATAATTTATAGTATTTTTGTTTGGTTCTTATCCCACGACTCGACGTTTTTAGCCAGGATTACGTTTGCTTGTGAGGAGAGCCATGTTGAGTAGCTCACAGGTGTTTGATGCACTGTAGACATGTTTGATGCACTGTAGACGCTTTATATATATATATATATATATATATATATATATATATATATATATATATATATATATATATATATATATATATAATGGCGCTAACATGTAAGATATATGTAATAGGGATGGCCGAGTTGACAGTGCTCTAGACTCGTAGACCTAGAGACCAGGGTTCGATCCCCCGGCACCGCCAGAAAAACAATTGGGCAGAGTTTCCTTCACCTGATGCACCTATTACCTAGCAGTAAATTGGTAAGTAGCTACGGGCTACTTCCTGGTGTGTGTGTGTATGTGTGTGTGTGCGCGCGAAAAAAAATAGTAGTGACAGTTGATTACATTAACAGTTGAGAGGCGAGCCGAAAGAACAGAGCTCATGCAATCCCCGCAAGCACAACTAGGTGGATACAACTAGGTGAATACAGCAAACGCAAATCTTTCGGCTTAAAAATTACACTATGAACGATTGGCCAACTTGTAAGGTACATCAAACGCCATCTTTCGGGATAAAATTACACTATTAACAACGGGTATCGCCATCTTTCGGGATAAAATAACACTATTAACAGCAGGCAATCATTTAAGGTACTGCAAACGCCATCTTTCGGCATAAAATTAAACTATCAACAACAGGTGAGTGAAACATGATGGCCTGTTGTTGATAGTGTAATTTTATCCCGAAAGATGGCGCTTGCTGTAACTCACAGGTGTGCCAGTGTTGATAGTTTAGTTTTAAACCGAAAGATGGCGTTTGCTGTCACTTATATGAGGGCCTGTTGTTGATAGTTTAATTTTATGCCGAAAGATGGCGTTTGCTGTAACTCACAGGTATGCCAGTCTTGATAGTTTCATTTTATGCCGAAAGCTGGCGGCTACTGTACCTTACATAATGGACTGTTGTTGCAACCTGTTCTTGGGATACTATAGTACTTATCTCACATTATGCTCATAGTTCTTATGCTGCCAATGTTCACAGTTTCTCTGTGGTAAATTTACAGTTATTAGATATAGTTATTAGTTATTAGTAGTATTTTCCATCCTATTCGAATATCCTGGAACAGGTACATCATATTGAAGGCTCGCAGTTTAGTTTTGAGAAATCTTGGTAGTTCTCAGTAAATTAAAATAAATATTCTATGAATTATTATCTATATATATTTCAATTGGCGCCAAATTATAAAATATACAATAGATTATGCTCTATTCAAATTAAAGAAAATGAATCGTACATTAAGTATTATAGAAAACGTATATACTAGGGTATACTACACTATCACCCACAGGATTGGTATGGGGACCAATACCGTTCACAGGATGGGTATGGGATCTACAACCCCCCCTCACGAGATGAGAATAGGGACCATAACATTCACAGAATGGGTATTGCGATTAATACTACCAGCACATGCACTCTGTACCACCACGAGCATCCGGAATTTACTCTTTGCCCCCCACATGTACTCTGCACCCGCATATGTACTCTTTACTCCCATATTTACTATGTGCCACCACGTGCATCCTGTGCTGTGCTAGGATCCCAGTAGTACAGTCGGGTTCGTTCACGACGCACAGTCGAGAATTCCGGGTTCGAATCCAGGGCGAGACAGAAATGGTTGGGCATATTTCCTTTCACATAATGAACTGTTCACCTAGCAGTGAGTAGGAACTCACGAGTTAGTCAGCTTGTTGTAGGGTTGCATTCTAGGCGGGGTCAGTAATTCAGCCTTGGTGGGGGGACCTCGATTTAAGCCTAAGGTATATGAATACACTCTGGCTTTCTGTCTCCCGACACAATGAATTATACGTACCCCTGTATCAATACATATATTCTGTACCACTACATGTACTCTGTACCCTCAAATGTACTCTTTACCCCCGACATGTACTCTGCACCCCATCCTAAAAGAGCCGATGGGTATTGGGTAATATATATGAACAAATTATTAATTAATGATTACCAAAGCAATCTATTTATTATACAGCTCGTGCACCCTGGGAACGGTCAGTAATTCGGCCTTGTGGAATACAGAGCACAGAGTACAGCACGAAGACCTTGTGGGACTGAGCACAGAGTGCTCCAAATTTACCTAAATCATTTGTTCGTAACGAGGGAATTGATTACCATCTCCGATTGCCTCTCAGCAGCCTGAGGGCAGAAATAGTCCGAGAAAATCAAGAAAACTTCGGTGACTTGAGGCATAAGTTAAAACATTAATAATAATAATAGTTAATATTCCGAAAATTATTAATTAAGATATATAATTCAGCTATGGTATACATAGCTACCACCTATTGCTCCTTATTTTATGATTTTTTTCATTTTAAGGTATAATAATTTAGACTGTTGTGAAGTCGTCAGCGAAGACAATAGCTGTTGATGGATAAATACTCTCTTTACTAAACTAGTTTACTCGTTACTGAAAATAGTTAAAAAGAGTTATAATAAGTCTCCATTCTGTGTCAAGTAATATTTCCACCAATGATTTAAACCAGTGCATCCAGTTAAAGGTTAGCACTTAGGAGAATTCTTGCTGCTTCTCAGTAGATTATAATAAGCACTCATAAATTATTACATATAATATTTTTCCTAAATAAAATAATATTATTATTATTATTATTAATGGTTCGTTCGCCAAACATTATGTACAATAGTGTAAGCTTTGAAAAACGAAAAGAGAATGGATTTTAGAAATGTTAACAGAAAACGACGTGACGTTGGAATATTTATCGGGTACACTACTCTAAACAGGATGGGTATAGGATCCACAACAAGTCACACGATGTTTATGTGGTTTGTAATCCCTACCACCTATTGGAAGGGTATTGGGTCCACTACCACCTGTTAGATGGATACGGGGTTCACTACCGCCCACTGGATGGGTAAGGGGCTCACTACCACCCACTGCATGGTATGGGGTCCACTACCACCCACAAGTACCGAAGCCGTAAATGCCAAAATTCTCTTAAATATTAAAATCCACCTGAACAAATCATCACGGTAAATAGTAGCTACCTCGTATTGAACTGCCTTTTGCAGTTACCTTAGATCTTATGTTTTTATATGGGGGGGGGGGACTTTTGATAAGACGCCGGCTTCCTGTCCTCGTCGAGGCCACTAACTAAAGGGCTAATGGCCCTCATGTTCTGGAGGCTGTACACGAGCTGATTGACAGCTGAGGGACGGGACCAAACTGTCGAAGCTCAAATCCCCAAGCACAACTAGGCGAGTCCATTGGAATTACCGTGTGTCCTTGCGCCATCTATGTTTTGACAGCAGTACTATTACTTTACCCACGTTACTCGATGATCAATATATGGGTGTTATGGTCAGTCGGTTTTCTATATATGTTTCTGGACAACATAGGTGATTTGGGGCAGGTTGCGGACAGTGTGTTTAGTAGCAACTAAATAGTCAGCGTTGGAGCTTGTCCTTCTACGTGGTCGACCAGCAGGTAAGAATTGAGTCTGTTAGTTTTGTATTTAGGAGGGTATTTGTGGGAAAGTTACTTGAAACTAAAATTGCAAATGCCATTCGTCTTCATATTGGAAAATAACTTGATGCATGAATATCATGGTTTTACTATTGGCTGTTAATGGCTAAACAAACTTGCATAGTTATGACAATTGATAAGGTTTGATGTGTACCTTGACTTTAGTAAAGCTTTTGGTAGTGCCACATGAAATATGAAAGTTAAGAGGGTGACGTTATTAAGAGTGCTGAATTAAGCGATTAGGGTCTGGCTATACCAAAGGAAATGGTTAGTATAATGGAGTTAATTTACGGGAAACGTGTTGTTAATGCCTCAAAGCTGTCTTGGTACCTCGGTTATTCAAAATATAAAGTAAAGAATCTGGTTTGAGCAGCAATAATTGAGGAATTGGCCAATAAAAAATTGGGAAGGAAATAAACTTGCTGTAACTTAACGATCTAAATAGGGTTTTGAAGTGGTGGGTAAAGATTGCCAGATGCTGTTTAATGCTGACAAATGTAAGCTTCTGAGGCTAGGTAATAAGAGGTAGATGGTGTTGGAGATTGTGAAAGGAATCTAGGATTTGATAGTTAAAAAAAAAATCAAAGCATAAATGTTCCCAATTGGGTAAATAAGACGCTATGAATTTTTTGTCTAAGCATTGCTAATAAAACGCCTGTTATTATTCTTCGGCTATATCTTTCTTTTAAGGCCCATTTATATGGTGCAGCTCGGTTTTGGTCGCCATGCTATATAGTAACAAACGATTTCATCCAGCGTGCATAACGTTTAAATCCTTAATCGTTATATTCCCTAGAATACGACCGCCAAATGGTTTAACCAGGTAAACCTCTTGCTGTTGGGTGAACTGACGCTACAGTTAAGGATTTGCGCCCAGTAAATCCTCCCCGGCCAGGATAGGAACCCAGGACAAAGCGCTGGCGAAACTCGAGACGGGCGTCTTGGATTGCTTAACTAGGTGCTTAAATGATGTCGTGGGAGTTAAGTTTACGGTAAGTTTAGTGCCGATGATTGGGGTTTATGGGAAGTTGTTAAACGTCAGCCTTGGGGGAATGACTGTAGAGTAATTAAAGTTTATCCAGCATCAGTTGGGGAAATAAGGTTCGTAACTACTAAAGTTGTATTGGATTTTTTCTTTTAGAATGTTCCTTAAATGTGAACTTTAAATGCCAAGGGCTTTGTGGTAAAATATATTGAAAAATGTAAGATGGGAAGGGGTTAACTTGTTACTTTAATTAGTTTTAAAATGAACTGTTAAAGTTTGTTATTATGCATGTACGTTTATTAACAATATTTACTGTTCCCATGATAGGTTGTGGAAGGTCGTGACAACAATAGAACTTCACAATTGTGGAGGAAAATGGTTTACGGACTAATCATCGTAAATGTTAGTGATTTAAGTACCATGGTTGTGTACGTCAGAATTATAAAAGTTTATTGGTATAGATTTATAGCTACAATCTTTCTAAATATGTAGGAAAAAAATATAACACAATTTTGAAGTGGGCTGGAAGTGAAATTATTTTTGTAGGCCTAATCTAGATAATATTTTATCCTAAAGTTGAGTCCTTGGAGGAATTTTACTTAGAATAGTTTCTAATTAATTTTAATAGCACTTTGCTCTTAAACAGCATCAACTAAAATTGAGGGGCAATGCATAGTCAATATTAATATTTAAATATAGTTGGCTTGCTTAATTTTCAAACTTCTGCAAATTACTTGGCTCTTAATAGTGTAGAAATTAATTTCTTTGAATGTTTTAAGTTTAAGGATTATTCGTAAATAAAAACTAAAATCTGTGTCTTTTGGCTCTGTCAGTACAGTAATTCCCTTGCTCAAAGTAAAAATATTGAGTACTCATATGTTTTACGTGAATGTTTAAATAATTTATCGTCTTTCAGAATATGAAATGGAAAGTGCAGAACATTGGTCCTTCAGTTGGAATGTGGTGACCAGCTTCAGTTACGGAATCAGGTGAGGAACGTGAGATACTTTCCAGCGAACACTGGTAAAGCTATCAGATGATCCTTAAATTTAGATATTAATGTAAACGGCTATTTAGACCAATCACGTATTAGAAATTGTGAATTAAGATGTTTCTCACCTTAAGTGTACTAGTAAAAACTATAAAGTATTTTATTTTGCTTATTAAAGTAAGATTTTTACTGCTACCAGAATATGAAAGGTTGAACTATTGTAAACTTTCCTTAAAGGATGTTTATCCACTGAAATTAACGTACATAAGTTAAATTTTTATGGAGGATTTACGTAAATTTAAAATTTTTCAGGTGGTAATGTGTTACAACGGCATCAAGGCAGTGATTGGCGTGTTCTAATCTGCAAAATAGTCTACTAAGCTGGTGAGTATTTTTAAAGTTTTTAGCTATATAAATTAACGTAAATTCATTCTTTTATCTAGTCCATTTATAGATGTGTAACCATGTCCTACTGTTACATCCTGCAGGGATTGATGCAGTTTGTACTGATCCTACCCCATTTCATAGAAGGGGACCAGGCAGTCCTGCAGATTTCCCTGGCCTGGCTTTTTCAGAGCTCTGCTCTACTACCCGTCTATTGGATGGACTAGAAGTGCATAGGTTTAGGGACCGTTAACAATGGCTTCATTGTTAATTCTCACAGGGCTTGTTTGCCGAATGAGTGGATGCATCCAACACTTTAGTGCCCTCCAATGCTATGTACATGGCTTACTATAAAGCACATGTACATAGTGTTGAGGGCACTAAAGTGGTGGATGTACTGCACTCATTTGGGGAATAAGCTCTGAACCACAATATGAGGAAGGGATAGGCCTTGCTGAGCCTATCTTAAAAGATAGGCTGTTAGGGTTTTTGGAGCTTCTTTTAAGGCATTGGGGTTAATAAAAGTAGTGTCCCTGTTTAATGTTTATTTTTCTTTTACAGGTGATGGTCCTTTGGAGTTGTCGTGGTCTCTGGGATCTTCAGTGATTGCATCTAGGAACATCAGTTTACAACAATCTGAAATAAAAGATGTATTATAAATACTGTACTATGTAATTTTTTTAATAAATCTTTTAATTAAAACTTTACATACATATCCTGAAATAGATTTGTCATGCTGCAAATTACTGCACTAAGTGCTATGAATTCTTTAACAATAACATCTAAAGACTGACTGATAAGTTTGACTTAAGATTTCAAATCTACAATTAGCTTTCACTTTACATAAACTTAACGCATGCAAATTTAAGGTATAATGTGGGAACTTTCTTAATCTCTTGCCACATTCTTTGAATGTAAATCCAAATTTCAACTTTAAGGCTATGCAGCACCTTAACAACAAATTGAAAAAAAACTTTGTAAAAATACTTACGTTTTGCAATCCTTTCATGATTAGGGCCATTAACCATGTTCACCCGAACATTCAGCCCAGTGGTACACTTGATGCTTTGGCCTATGTTCGTATCATCCTACAATCTGGGATGAGCCAACAAATATTTACATTAAACTTTACACAATGATCAGAATTCAATTTTCCTATTGTTACCAGCGATTTAAGTCTAGACTATCTGGATCAGTGATAAACATTGGTGTATTTGATTACGGTACTGTAGGTACTAGCTCTAACATTATTCAGGGAAAAGTACATACATAGATGAGATAAACGTTCGATTTATAATGATGCTTAAATTTGCTAACTTGGCTACAAACTAGTCTAAATTTATCCAGAGAACATATCAACCTACTGTCTGTGGGTTTAATGTGCTGAGAAGTGTGATCTGAAAGTCGCTTTGGTATCCCAGGGCCTGGAGAACCTCAGGACTGTATAGTTCCGGTATCCTCAAAGCACATTACGTTCCTGAGAGTTTCCTAAGACAGGATACCAGTTACTTTCTCTATGAAGATCCTGTTGGGTAGGATTCACAATTAACGCCCCCATGAACACCCTCTGATAGTGGGACATTTACATTACCTAATTAGGTCCAGTATCTCTTCCTCTCCCCTCCCCCATAATAAAACTAATCTATTTAAGAGTTAATTATACAATAGTTATGCATACAAAGTTAAATATTTTCTTTGAAATGAGAAAAAATGGCGAAATCCGTAGGGGCAAACTAAGCTAAACCAAGGACCCAGCATAGGTGACATACTCGTCAGCGACTACGGAAGTAGTACAGAACAAGGCTCATACTTGGCACAACTGTGTAATGAGAAATGTTTACAGGTCTGCATCCACCAGACGATGAGCACCTTATAATACGGTGGAGAATGTGCTGGTCCTCGGATAATCAGTAAGAGGAGATACAGAAGGTTATGACGAACAGCCTCCTTCAAGATCTTTGTCGTATTCCTTAACTACTGCTCTATTGTGGGTAAAACGTACTCTGGTAACTTATTGAACGTTGATTCAACATTTTTTGGAATCCATTTCATGTTTTAGCAACTTTGTTAGACTACCTTTCCCAGTGTGGGTAATGTAAGATATATCTTCCACCATCTGATTCTTCCCTCCCCTCCCACCGTCCAAGCCTGTGTGAAAATTATGTCATGGCAGTGATGATAAACTGGCCTTGTGCAACACTAATATGGAAAACTGAAGAAGAAACAGTACAGTGAGAATAGAAAACAAACAAACTTTTGCCTCATTTAAAAACAAAAACAAAAAGTACCTAATTTCATCTTCGTAGTTTCCTACACTGAGCTTTAAATTTGCTCTGTATCTAGTGTTACCCAATCTCCCAATCTTTATGTACTTAATCCAAACAACTTTATCAACTATCATTGTGTTACTGCTGTCTTATGTGCTATCCATATGCTGTATTAAGCCTACTAATTTTAGTTCAACCACCACTCAAGCTGTCATTGTAATCAATCTCAGCTACCCATGTGCTTTACTATACCTACAATTCTCTAATTTTTTCTTGCTATGTAACTTATTTGTATAAATTTTGCAAGTATTTACCTACTTAAAATTTTCTTAGATTAAGGACCTGCCCGAAATGCTGTGCGTACTAGTGGCTTTACAAGAATGCAATTACTATGCTATGTATCCTCACAATCCCAATGTACCTTGTATATATATAAATAGTCATGTCATGCCCCCCCCCTTTTTTGCCCCCTTTTTCTACACAAAGACTAAAGCTTGATACTAAACGAGATTAAAGTAAAAGCGTTTTTCCCCACACCTTGCCAGAAACGCCGTGCGTATCAGTGGCTTTAGGTATTGTATGTACTACCTCTGTCTATAATTCAAACGTTATGTTTGTAACTCATCTTCAAATGTATGTACTTTTACCTGCATAAACATTTTGATTTTGAATAGCGATTATGAGACAGGATCTGTAGGTTAAAGACAAGTTCAAAATAGGATAATCATTGGGAAAAACAATTCCTTCATTTATTACCATTTACCCATACAAACTTTCCCTACCAAAAAAAAGGAAATTTAATTCTCGTCGTCTGAGACAGAAAAGCCGTTAGCCTTACTGAGGTCTCATAAGCAGATCATTTATTTCACCAGGATGCTACCCACAACAGTCGACTAACTCCCAGGTACTTAAATATTACTGTATTAATGTGGGGAAACATCTCTGTCTGGGAATCCAACCACTAGCATTCAGTTGCGAGGCGACTGCACAGCAGCTGCGTGGACCCACCTTAACAGCGACCAAAAGCGCCATCTGCAACAACAGGGTGACTCACGTAGAGGAAGACAACATGGCCTTTGTCACAGATCCAGCCCAGGATGATGTCTGCTCCCTGCATGCCTCCGCTGGGGGTGAAGGGAAGGAAACTATGAAGAGAAGCGCCAAGCCATTACGACTATATAGCACTGGGAAGGGGTCAGGATAAGGATTTGGGATGGGACCGGGGGGGGGGGGGGAAGGAATGGTGCACTTGGACGGTCGGGGATTGAACGCCGACCTGCATGAAGGGAGACCGTCGCTCTACCGTCCTGCCCAAGTGGTTGGAACCGCTGGGAGAGAACCTCAAGCCAACGTACCCAGGCGTCGCCACCTCCAGCGTCGCCACCTCCAGCGTCGCCACCGAGAACGTCATGGGGGGATACATACGAATAATAAATTACTCATCTGCTCTTGTTAAGTGTTACTAGTGCATAACCGTTCCTAAATACAATTGTATGAGCTATTCATTAATACATTATATTCATCGTTATACAGATAGGCACATTTATATACTTATGTAAGCCTGAATAAGCTTTAATGATAAAAGTTCAGCTCTAAAACTAGACAGTTCAACCCTCGGCCCAGTGCTGTTTTCAATAACTATGCGTATTAAACATTAAAGCTTAGGTTCAATCTCTACCAACACATTCGTCAACCGTTTATTTTCCCAAAATTTTACAAACTTTAATTCTATGTATAGATCAAGCCTTTAAAAGAACATCAAGACTAGTAAAATATTTAGAGGAGTTTGGAAGCTCTAACCAGCGTACTGTGTCATCACTGACGGACTTTAACAATTAATTAAAACTTACCAATACCTGCGTTCATCAGACGAGTACGATTCCCATAATATATTTTAGTACAATTCACGAACAAATCTGGTTAATGTTCCAGAACATCTTAATGTTAAATTATTTTCAAGTAGCTAAACTAGCTCTACTAGCTGTTAGTTTATGACGCTTGTTAACGGGGAATACTTTAACAAAGTGGAAGACCATGTCCTTATCAAGGAAAAATCTTTTGTTTACAGGTGCTCTTATTGTTAATGTTAGGAATAAAGGGATAAATACCACATCGTATACGAGACTGCTCGCCGACGGATTTGAAAACCTAACCTAAACTAACCGACCAACTAGCGGACACGTCAACACAACAATGGCGAGGCTAACCTGAACTTGGAATACGACATCCTTCTCTCTGGGCGTCCAAAGCATTACGTAGGCGCCGTCCTGGTCCAAGAAAGCCCTGTGCTCTAAGTGGGGAAGCTTGAGCTCCTCGTCCACCCACACGCCGAGAGTCGCACCACAACACGCCGCCATAACCACCCACACTGTCCACCTCCAACTACCCATGCTGGAAGGACAACAATTCCATTTTCTCTTCCAGTGATTGATCACCGTTTTCTTTTAAGGACTTGCAGATATAAATATTCTGTTTTGGAATGCTTGACTTGCTTAAAATACATATACCATGTGTGAAGCAATAATGTGATATTCCTATATCCTTTTAGCCACGATACAATAACCGGTCACAAAGGTTATTCGTCCATATAGAAGACGACCTTGACACAGTCAGAAATTTCTAACATATCGTGTCTTCAAACACGATATTTTCTCAATTTTTATTTAATATTGTTAAATATTAACATTTTATGCAAGTTAAGTAGAGGTTAGTCGGTTAGGTTCTAATGGGCATTATTTGTGTTGGAGTACGTGGATGAAGCATTTAGAGAGCGAAGCAATAATCGAGAACAGTTCGAGCTTTAGTTGTGAGTCGTACAACATCTTATCATTCATCAACACGTGGTTTTGTAGCCGGATTAACGAACATTTGACCTTTTGTATATGAGTAAGGGCTGCAGGCTGTTACAGGCGTCACTCAACAGAGAACCTTCAATCTTTTCTTGAAGAGCGTTTTGATCTTTTTTTGCGTTCGAGTCGCACCTCTAAATTCTCCACAAACGTACTACAAGTGTAAATAATTGCCAAAAGAACCATAACACTGAATGTCAGTTTTAACACAATAACTTAAAACTGACTTGAACATCTTTCAAGTCTGGTGTAGCTTGGACGTCAGAGCTTAAGTATTAAGAACTGACTCGAATCTGATCATACTCGATTCTTTTTTCGAAAAGTTTATTTTTTGCACTTTTGCTTCACCTGTGAATTTTAATCCCAAATAATTTCCAATGGAGAAAAAACTTACCTTGGGCTATATATACAACCCGTCCTCGTAAACAAAGGCCGAAACCCATTCCATGCACCCGCCAAACCCCCTGTTTATGAATGCAAAACGGTTTACACACGACTCACAACTGATGACGTCCGAACACTTCCGGAACAAGTGCTTCGCTAACAACTTTTGTTCGAATCTTAACGCTGTAAATATTCCACCCACGTACTACAAATACAAATAATCGCCAATAGAACCTAAACACCTAATCTAATCTAACCAATGTCTAAATATACACAAAATACGAATATATATAATAATATTTTATATTTGAGAAAATTCATGTTTTAAATGACAGCATGTTAAAATTAATGAGTGCATCTTTCGGGTCGACCACTGGATGGAATGAACATAGACTGAGGACATGAGGATTCTGGTGGTGATGGAGGCAGGTGGTTGAGGTTTCAGGAGAATATATAACCTTAGATAAGACGTGCGTTGTGGTCCACACATGACCTGATGTGTGTCCATAAATACACATTCTCTGCTTCGTGGTTGTGTGGTAAAGGGAAGGGTGGAAGGGTCTATGATATCAACACGCTTGGCGAGTAAATGAGAGAGAGAGAGAGAGAGAGAGAGAGAGAGAGAGAGAGAGAGAGAGAGAGAGAGAGAGAGAGAGAGAGAGAGAGAGAGAGAGAGAGAGAGAGAGAGAGAGAGAGAGAGACAGAGAGACAGACAGAGACAGCCAGGTTCCTTATATGATACTTCCTTTATGATTGTTCCCTGAGTGATAGATTCAAAGTACATTCTCATGAAATAAATGAGTTTCTAGGAGCAAGCTTCACATGAGCTGAGGTAGGATAACAGCTCTTGCTTGCAGTTTCAATAGGTACGTCATTTGACAGCCCTTATGAACCCTTCCTCTTAGTTAATAAAAACAAGAAAATAACAAGAGAGAATTGAGACACCAAAAACTTCCAGAAATGCATAAAATAAAACTCACACTTCAACAATATACTTTATTCAACAGTACGGTCACTTCCCATTACATTTACATCTCTAAACACTGTTTATTTATACAATAAAACTTTCTGGAGGATCTTCTGAAGAATAAACTTTTCCCCCATTGATTAAATAGATCAAAGGCTCTTGGAACACATGTAGGAATTTATTCCATAAAATGACTGCAACACAAGTGGATAAGGCGAAGGATAGGAATATGCCCAACCACTTGGACAGTCGGGAATTGAACGCCGACCTGCAGTAAGCGAGACCGTCGCTCTACCTTCCACTCCAAGCTTGGGGATTAGGACGCCCGTGTGCGCGCGCGCGTGTGTGTGTGTGTGGGGGGGGGGGGTCCTGGACACTTTAGGTTTGTGTCCAGGACCTCCCCCCCCCCCCAATGTCGAACAATGCAACCCAACAACAGTTGACTAACTCCATGGTACCTATTTACTGTTAGGTGAACATAGGCATTAATCAATAGGAATCGTGCCAAACCATTTCCGCCCCAACCCGACCTCGAACCCGGGATTCCCGATTATAAGTCGACGACGAACTAAACTGTAGGTCGCGAGTGTTTCACAATGAAAGTAAAGCAAAATTTATTTCACCCAATTTATCGTTTGGAAACAGAGAAGGAACATTAAATAAACAAAATATCTAAACCTTACGGTTATTACCCTGGGATAGCTAGGATTAATAAGTAGAAAGAAACGCAGACAAGTGAGCAAGGCAACCATAATCGAGTTTAGACAGTACGAGAAAGGAATGTAGAGAGAAGAGCGTGCACCTATCCACTCCCCAAAGAAGTATGGGATAAAATCTTAAGTAGGTTAGGGGCCTTAGAACATTCAACTCGGAGGTAAGAGACATGGGGTGACTAAGACAAACGAGTGTCAAAGAGTAACCCCAAAAGCTTAGCAGAATCTTTGTACACAAAGGGATGACCATAAAGCGACAGAGAGGGACGAAGAATGACATGCTTCCGAGTAACAGTCATAGCACAAGTCTTAGTTGCAGAGAACGTGAAGTCATGATTGGTGGCCCAAGACGACACGGCATCAATGACAAGTTGAAGTCGCCGTTGAAGGAGAGGCGAATCATCCAACCTGTCCTCTTAAAAAGAACGTCGCTTTTGGCCGTTTGCCCGTATGGCCGAATATGGACGTAATTTGAAAATGAAAATAAATTGAAAATAAATTTGTTTTTTTTTTTTCAACAACAGTAAGTTAAGGGTCGTCTGATAGGTTAGGTGGGCAGGAAATTCTCATAAAGTTTCAAATCGTTATGAAAAACGTAAATTGAAAGTTCCTCTTCTAAGTTGTCCGAGGAGGGCCGGACGACTCAAACAGAAAACGGAACAGTACGTCACTTTCGTGAGTCGATTTCATTTCAAATTACGTCCAAATTTGGCCATAGTGCGCATACGAGCGAAAAGTGACGTTATTTTTAAGAGGACGGGTTGAATCATCACCTCGACAGCAAAGGGTAAGATCGTCGACATAGAGAGCAGAGAAGACGCCAGAAAGAAGGGAGGAAAGAATACCACTGAGGGCTACCAGAAAAGGAGTAGTGCTCAGAACACTACCCTGGGGCACACCTTCGCATTGCCGAAAAGAGGCAGAGAGAGTGGCACCAAGTCTCACTCTAAGGGAACGACGAGAGAGGAAGAGAGATGGATTAGCACGAAGGCCAAAAGAATGAAATTGGAACAGAATAGGTATCTCCAGGTGGTGTCGTAAACCTTTTCCAGGTCAAAAAGGACAGCAACAACGGAGGTCTTCCCAGCAAAAGCAGTAGGAATATAGACCTCCAAGTTCAACAAAACATCAGTCGTGCTTCGGCACTTGCGAAAACAAAATTGGGAAGGGGAGAGGTGGTGATAGTGTTCCAAGAACCACATTAGACGAACATTGACCATATGCTCAAAGAGTTTGCAGACAACTCGTGAGGGCAATAGGGCAGAAGTCCTTATGGGATGTCCCGAGAGACCCCGTTTTCCGATTATAGAGTACAATAGCATCGAGCCAATCCTCAGGGACTGACGACGACTCCCAGACCTGGTTATACAGACTCAGTAAATACTGAGACGCGCATGGAGGGAGATAGCGAAGCATCTCATAATGAATGTCACTTGAGCCCGCTGCCGTAGAACCGCAGAGGGCCAGGACAGACTGAAGTTCAGAGAGAGAGAGAAAAGGGATCGTTATAGGGAAGTTGGAGTACAGATATCACAGAGATAGGTACAGATATCACAGAGATGAGATTCAAGAACGGGATTACGAAGAAGGATTGAGAAAGACGAGAACCAGAGCTAACAGTAGAAAAGTGGGAACCCAGTTCGGTTGCGACTTTCACTGGGTCTGCCACAAGAGTACTACGGAGGTGAAGGACCGGCGAGACATCTGGAACGAACTTATCCACTATCATGCGGATTTTCTTCCAGATCTGCGGCAGAGGAGTATCGGACGTAATGGTGGAAACATAAGATTTCCAACTCTCACGTTTACCTGTACAGATGGTCCTACGGGCCACCGCACTTGTCTTCCGAAACAAAATAAAAGAATCAGTCGTTTGCCGGCTTCAGTATTTCTTCCAGGCTGCACGTTTACAGCGGACAGCCCGAGCACAGTCCGTATTCCACCACAGAACGCACTTCCGCGTGTCCCGGGAGGTAGAACGAGAAATAGAGTAGAGGGCAGCGATGAAGATGGTGTCATGAAAAAGGAGGACAATGTGAGGGAGCGGCAGAGTGGAGAAGCGGAGAGAATAGCTCGGATTGTGAATAGGTTCCAGTCAGCCTTGGCAAACTCCCACCAAGGGAAGGAGAGGGGAGGGTGAAAAGAGAAAAAGGTAACAAGGATGGGGAAATGGTCACTGTTATGGAGGTCATCAAAAACCCGCCATGTGAAATCTAAGTAAAGAGACGACGAGCATAGATAAAGATCAAGACAGGAAAGGGTGCGAATTCGAGAGTCCACATGAGTGGGTTCACCAAAATTCAGAACAGACAGGGAAGAAGAGAGGACGAAAAGTTCGAGAAAACGGCCTCGGGTGTTTGTCAGAACATCACCCCAGAAGGTATGTCGACAGTTGAAATCACCCAAAAGGAGCACCGGCTCTGACAAGGAGTCCAGGAGGTGCTTAAGATCAGGGATAGAAAGCAGGACATTTGGGGAAGATAATTGGGTCAAACCATATATTATTTGCTCACAAAGACACGGGCAGCAGAACTTTGGATAGGCGACTGAAAAAGTAGGGGGATGAAGGGAATATCAGTACGAATCAAGAGAGCAGTAGTTATGGGCCCCAGCAAAAGCCGGGGGGGAGGGGAGGAGAGAAAGGAATAACTACAAAAGTGACCAGGACGAGCACCAAGCATCGGTTCCTGGAGATACAAAGTGGTGAAAACTGTGTAATCAGAAGTTCAGTTCATGGAAGTTTGCATAAAATCCACGAATATTCCGTTGAAGAATAGACATTGGCAAAAAGAGAAAGGACAGCAACAGAGAACAATGAAGAAACAAAGGTAAAAAAGAACACAGCATATTAAATAAGCTCAGGATCAGGATCAGCGAAGTCAGGGTTAGGGGGCATGAATAAACTGAGTAAGGATGGAGTGAAGGGAGCGGGAGGACAGACCAGAGGTAGATGGGCAGGGTCCGGAGGAGGAGGAGGAGACAACCGAGAGGGGCGGTCAAGGACAGCCGGAGGAGGTGGGGGCACAAACCGGGGAGCGCACCTCAGCAAGGGCAGCACCCGAGAGGGAATAAGGGCTTAAAGAAACCTCCATAGCTGGGACAGGGGGCCCAACCACCGAAATGGGAGGGGACGGAACGATAGTCAGAGGTGGGGGGCGAGGAAGAAAGTGATGCCTTCTTACCCGCCGGGGAGGAGGAAGGAGAGGAGCCAGGCTTACGTTTCTGACTCAAGGAGACAGGTGTTCCGGCAACAACATACTGGGCGACAGACTCAATTGTCTCAACGAAAAGAAGAACGGGAGCGAGTGAACAACATAAAGATTGCTGGGAGGATGATTGACAACAGCCCAGACAGATAGGCGGCGTGGAGGGCCAAGTGACTGGGGAAAGGGATGGGAAGAATCGGGGGGAAGGGAGATGGGAAAGAAGACACAGGAGACATGGCAGACTGGGTAGGAAGGGGGACGGGGGAAACTCCAGATGGAAAACCAGGAGGGGAACCCTTTGGGATAGAACGTAAAGGAACAGGGGAGGAGATGGTGGGCGTGTTTGTGTCTAAGGCCTGGAAACTATTGTGAGACTGAGTAAGGTGGGAAGGACGAGGAGAGGTAGAATGCAACACGCAAGCATAAGATACGCCAGTGAAAGGGTTGAGACGGCGAACTTGGCATCTCGCTTCAGGAAAAGACAGACGATCGGGGTGTTTCAAGTTGAGGATGACTTCCTCAAGTTTCTAGTGTACACACGTGCGTGAGAAGGTAGGGTGGGCCTCACCGCAATTGAGGAAGCGAGCCTGAGGAAAAGAACACTGACTTAGAGTGATCATCGTCCCCACACATGGAGCAGATACACAGTACTTGTGCACTTGAAGGCACCATGACTCAATTTCCAGCACTTATTGCAAAATCTAGGAGAGGGAATGTACTCCTGAATGGAGCATCTGGCACCAGCAGGAATTACAGAAGGGGAAGGGTCCTACTATCAAAGGTGATTTTCAGAGCTAGAAGGGGTTAACGGAGACGACCACGACGGGGTCGAGTGAACGTGTCCACCTGGAGGACAGAATGGCCTTGGAATTCGAGTATATGTTTAATATCCTCATGGCAGTCTTTTAGGTCCCTAACACTGGTTGCAACATGGTGCGGGAGGAGAATAGTGCCAACACTGGAATTTAACCTAGCGTTTTTGGAGACCCGAACAGGGGGTCTCTCCAATGCAGGACAATGCGGCTAAGCGGGTAGCGGCATCCTGAGAAGGAGCAGCGACGACACGTGTACCGAAACGGGTGGGGTGAAAAGTAACAGAGGCATCCACCGAATCAACAAGGTGTTTATGGAGTGAGAAATCGTCAGGAGGAGTAGAGTCCAGATGGTGGAGATCAAAGTATTTAGCCCACGTAGCAGGACCAAACAAGGCGTGGTTCGTATTAGGGAACGTACGAGTGTGGCCCTGGTGGGGATGGTGGTGAGAGCCCCCAGAGAGGGGGTTAAAAGGCACAGTAGTCACAATGAGAGACGGAGCCGTGCCAGGGGACGTGATGGTCACCACCGGGGGCATGGGGCTCGACCCTACCAATGAGGAGGGAGGGAAGTGGAGGGGGGGATTAGTCCAGTCTGGGTCCAATGTAGCAGGGGCTACAGAGCCCGGTCTTCCATCACAGTCCAACTCAGGGGCCTGGTCGCCTACCCCATGAGCCTGGGTAAGAGGGGTCGTTGGGTTTGTCGTCAACAGCGGTGCTCCCTCTTTTTAATAGCGGAGTCCTACTGCATCCTCCATTACCCCACACTGCCAAAGACCTCCTTTCCACTTTCGCCCCAGCCTGGACACCCAACCATCCACTTAGGGCAGCGCCTCATAGATGATCCCTCCAGCGGGCGGTTCGATAACTCACAAGGCCCCTACATGGTGCCCTTCTGCACATGCAACACCCAAAGAGGGTCAGGAGAGGGAGCGAAGGCAACCCTCACTGGTCCCAGGGAGGTGTACATGAGCCCCTCACCAAGACAAGGCGACACCACGGAGGGAAGTCACTGAGCGAAACTATTCATTATAAATTTTTCCCCTAAAGCACCCCATGGGTGGAGGAAGCCAAGCTTCTTTTGTCCTCAGATAAAGCTTAAACTGCAGCCCTCCATAATGCTGCATGGAAGTAAGGTCAGAAACTGAAACCATATTGAGACGAAAGGTCTAACAGCCCGTCCTCATGACCAATGTCTCGTTATCGTACGCTACGGTAACCACCATACTAAATGCAATGTGCTATGACAAGCAGTTGCTCATAAAATTTCACTTTTCTATGCAACGGTTCGGTTCGGTTTGGTTTGGTTTGGTTTGGTTCGGGTCGGTTCGGTTAGGTTAAGTTAGGTTAGGTTAGGTGGCTTGTGTTTCGTGCACTTTACGGTTAGGTTAAGGCGTTGGATTTTGTACTTTTGTGGTAATGCAAGAGAATTCGCAAGATCATTACTCTTCATTGAGTAAACTGACCCACGAAGCTGCCACCCAATGGTGAGTGGAACAGGAAAGTGTTATAGTGCTGTATACAAAGCTGTTGTATATAGTGTTTATCCAATCATACATATATATGATTGTGTACGTTTCTTGCCTCTCCATATCTATATTCTGAAAATTACGTAAGCCCACTACACAATGGTGTTGTTGTCGACACGTTTTGTTTTAAAACGCATAGTTCAGGTACAGTACTAAATTGGATGTCAGCAAACAGCTGTCAGTATCCAATTTGCATCATGCTAACACAAGGAGATATATTTCTTGAAAAAGCCTTTTTTAACGTCTCTCCCATTCTATATATACACACAAACAAGTCAAGTAGAATCTTGGAGTGACAGTCCTAGGCGCCTTCTGTCTTACACAGATCAAACACCTCTCTTAAGATGTTGATGAAACGGTAGACGTCATAGAAGGAGTTGTAGAGAGGCACAGGGGCGACGCGCATCACATTAGGTAGACGTATATCACACTGAGGAGATAAACACAACAATTTATATACCTATATATTTTAAAATTTCTGTATTTATCGATAAATATGATATTTATATATGGTTTTATGCGTCTGTAAGTCAGCTGAAAGAGCATGACATGACATCCAGTCTCTGTTTATGTTAACAGATTGTAAAACTATAGCTCATCTATGGTGTAACTTGCTTAACTAAAAACATTTGGCGGTTCACTTCCTGAATCAATTATGTGCTCTGTTACCATTTCCACTGCCACCCACAGGATGGGTGTTGTATCCACTACCGCCCGCAGGATGGGTATGGGGTTGTCTATTGCTTACAGTATGGGTATGGTGTCCACTACCGCCCACAGGATGGGTTTGGGGTTCTCTATTGCTCACAGGATGGGTATGGTGTCCACTACCTTCTACAGGATGGGTATGGGGATCCAGAACCACCCAAAGGATGGGTATGGGATCCACTACTACCCACAGGATAGGTAGGTATGGGGTCCACTACCGCCCACAGCATGGCTTTGGTATGCATAAATTAAACTATAAACAACAACATGAGAAAGTACAGATGTGATATTTGCCATCAAATCATAACCTCTAAGACTCACCACAACGCCTCGTTTCTCCAGCTGTTGGTGTACATCGTTGAGAGTGAAGGAGAAGATGAGAGAGAGCTGACAGCCACGGGCGGCGACGTCCTCCGGCGTGATGATGGTGGCCGAGGGAGCTCGCTCTTGACCGCTGCTGAAGTGCGTCTTGAGGAGCAACTCCAGGTAACCCGTCAACAGGAACTGCTTCTTGACCAGACGTTCCATACCAGCCTCTTCAAAGATCTAAGGAAGGGAAATATACAAGTTCAAACCACCATGCTCTCACTCCAAAGGGATATTGTAATAACTGGATGGGTGAAGCCTTCACAAGTCTTTTGGTCCTCAATAACTTAGTCCTAGATATTGTCAAATGTCTCACCTCCAGACTGGCCTTGACAAGGGCCACGAGGAATGGGGGCGGGTTACAGAGCCTGAAGGAGTCCACACCGATGGCCATGTCACACTCATCATTCATTTCGAACCTGGTGGTCTCCTTGTTGCTCCACCAGCCGCGCAGGTGGGGCGCTCTCCTCCCGTTGTGACGCTGGTTGATGTACGCGCCTGCGATGCAACCCGGCCCACTGTTAAGGTACTGTGGGAGAGTAGCGGTTAGAGCAACTCACACTTGCTTCTTGCGTCATAATTATACAATGCCTGCAAGTTCAACATTACTTCTATATCAACTTTGTGTACATCTTAGGGCACTTTACGTAAGTGAATATGTTTACGTTGCCAGAGTGTAAACATGTTTACGTTGTCAGAACGTGAATATGTTTACGTTGCCAGAACGTGAATATGTTTACGTTGCCAGAACGTGAATATGTTTACGTTGCCAGAGTGTAAATATGTTTACGTTGCCAGAACGTGAATATGTTTACGTTGCCAGAACGTGAATATGTTTACGTTGCCAGAACGTGAATATGTTTACGTTGCCAGAGTGTAAATATGTTTACATTGCCAGAACGTGAATATGTTTACGTTGCCAGAGTGTAAATATGTTTACGTTGCCAGAACGTGAATATGTTTACGTTGCCAAAACATAACTATGTTTACGTTGCCAGAAAATAACTATGTTTCCGTTGGTAGAACGTAACTATGTATACGTTGCCAGAACGTAACTATGTTTACGTTGCCAGAACGTGAATGTTTACATTGCCAGGACGTAAAAATATTTAATTTGCCAAAACGTCATTGTTTACGTTGCCAGAACGTGAATATTTTTATGTTGCCAGAACGTGAATATGTTTACGTTGCCAGAACGTAACTATGTTTACGTTTCCAGAACGTAAACGGGTTTACGCTCCCAGAATGTAAATGTGTTTACGCTGCCAGACTGTAAATATGTTTACGTTGCCAAGAAGTTATCAATGCTTACAAAACAAAAAATGGGTTTACTCATAGGATAATAATGTTACCTTGTAGGTACACCAGCAGGCGAAGTCGACGCCCCATCGGTCGAGGTGGAGAGGAACATTACCAATGGCGTGCGCCAGGTCCCAACCCACCAGGCAGCCCTGCTTCTGAGCCGCCTTCGTGATCTGCTCCATGTCGAACTTCTGCCCCGTGTAGTACTGCACTCCACTCAGGCATACTACGGAAATGCTACTTCCTTGCTCCTTGATCACCTGTTGAAGTAACACACCTGTATCATGCCCCTTGCTGGTAAATGCTCTAATGGAGCAACACACCTGCATAATGAATGCCCTGAACCTGTTGGATTCACAAATCTGTTAATTACAGAAGTTATTGAAGCATGTGTGGGTCTCAGAGTATTTAGAAACAGTGTTTATATATTTTCACCTAAACTTTAGACGTTTCAGAAGAAAAAAGCGATAGACATAAATCATTTGCGTTTTAATGTATTTAGAACATAAGATTAAATGATAAATACCATATATTTGATGATTGTAGGTAAAGCTAAGCTGTATACCTTCCTTAGTGGCTTATATAATATAAAACTTATGTACCAATTAACCACTGTAACATGTTTTAATATATTCTATAAATAACATTTATTATTATTATTATAATTAGTCTTAACAGTATCATCCTTATTAAATGAGTAATTAAGGCTCTCCAAGGTTTGTATTATTGTCAAGGTATAAATGTTTTTGATAAAAGTATTATAGCACATCACAGTCTCCAGTATATTGGCCTCGGTGAGGTTAAGTAAGGTTTAATCCTTGGAATTTAATAATTTGCCGTGAATTAATATATTGGCCTATACTTTCTAAAATAAATGAGAGCAACAATCATGGGTGAACGATATAATACTTCATACAGTCTAGGCTAGGGTACCCATATAAGTATATTAATCAAATTCATTAATTACTTAAAATAATTAACTTAAATATTAGCACTACAACTTGTATCTTGTTTTTTTTTCTCAGTTAAGTGTGCGCGTGCGTGAGACCGTGTGATAACTCACCTTAAGAATATCATCAGTCCTGAGAGTGTGTTCACCAGGTCGGGGAAATATCTCTAGCACCGCTTCCTTGGGATCGAACCCTCGGAGCTCTGCCTGAGAGACCATAGCATACTGAGGAAGGAAGCAAAACACCATTAGTGCCCATACATGTTATAGTTACAAGCCTAATCACGAGGCTTCCGCTGATCTTTAAGAATTAGTCAATCTTGTCAGTAATATAAAATCATTAAAATTAGTCTCAAAAAGTATTAGATTAGGTTTTTAAGTCATTACAGAAACCTAAGACACAACTGTACTTTCCTATAAGACGAAGGTAAAATTTGACATGTCTGTGGCTACACGTGTGAGGATAAATGATTGGAAGGATAAAGTAGTAGACTGTGTCACCAGTAGAAGTTTACAAATAAACTTTGGTAAACTTTCAGCCTTTAGATCCTTGCTGAATCTAATGTTTTACTCTATAACTAAACTTTGCATTTTTAACAATTAATTGTATTAATCAATTTTCATTCATCTATACATACATACAAGGGATATATACACCAAGAAGTATAGCCCGCTATTGTGTGCAGTATATGCATTAAAGTATATTTTAGTCCAGGATTATTTTCAAGACTAAATTATGCTTGCTGGTTGATTAGTAAGTTATTATGTTAGCCTCAATAACCCATTCATAGGTTCATAGGCCTTAAAGCAACATTAAACAAAACCCTTCATATGACCACAAAAACATTAATATCACCATTAATCAAATGTTTACAATTATTAACCTGATCTCTCAATAAACATTATATGGTAGGGAAAAAGACTAAAGACTTATAAACATTTAGGTGTAAAATTCCCCTTGCAAATGTTGCAGGACTTAAGACATTACAATAAGCTGTTGACCAGACCACACACTAGAAGTTGAAGGGACGACGACGTTTCGGTCCGTCCTGGACCATTCTCAAGTCGATTGTGACCATTCTCAAGTCACAATCGACTTGAGAATGGTCCAGGACGGACCGAAACGTCGTCGTCCCTTCAACTTCTAGTGTGTGGTCTGGTCAACATACTTCAGCCACGTTATTGTGACTCATCGCCTGAATAAGCTGTTCTTGTTCTCGTATACTAAACTGCACGTCAAGACCTAACAACATGGGTGCTGAATCACCTTACGCTAAACAAGTCTTCAGAGTAGTTTAAAAGAACCTTATGCTCTGATCCAAATTTAGAAAAATAGCATAAGTGTAAACAAGTTGAAATAGACTATATAGAAGCAGTCAGGGATGGATACGGAGTGGCCGTTTAAGGAGGAACAAGACACAAGTGATTCTTCAAGAAAGTTGAGAGACAGTGATGTCGTTCAGTGAGGGGAAAAATGTATATATATCATGAGTTTAGTGCAGTGGAATTAACAGTACTCTTAAACAGTGTATAGTGTTGAGAATACTGATAAGCGTTTAAAATATCTTGAAAATATAAACACATGGATATTTGTAAGTAACAGTATTAGAGTGAATCTAAAAGGAGAGTGAAAAGAAACCCCATGAGATGGACAGATGTCTAGAAGTGTGTGAGGAAGTAGGCAGAAGTGAACTTAAACTCATCCTAATAGCATAAAACTCAACACACACTCAGCCTAACAGGAGTAAAACCGAACACACACTCACCCTAACAGGAGTAAAACCGAACACACACACTCACCCTAACAGGAGTAAAACCGAACACACACTCACCCTAACAGGAGTAAAACCGAACACACACACTCACCCTAACAGGAGTAAAACCGAACACACACTCACCCTAACAGGAGCAAAACCGAACAGAAACACTCACCCTATCAGACGGAAAAGCACGTCCCTCGATGAGTATCTTGTAGCGTGAGTTGCTGGGCTGGTAGAAGGAGAGGAGGAGCAGGTTGAGATTGACAGACAGCCCGTTCATGAGGGTGACAGTTGACGGGTCGGCCCCAACCAGTCGACCCAACTCCTCTCGACCATATCTGTCACACAATGCAGCTGGTAGCGGGTCCTCGAAGTGCATCTCTGCCCCCCTGTCAAGCAATCCACCAATCAATCAATTCTATCATGGACATTGTCAATCAGTTCCATAAGGAAAATTATATATAAGTTCTATCATGAAAATTCTAAAGCTGTCATGAAAACGACCAATAAGTAATGCTATGAAAATCGCATTACTTATTGGCCGTAGAGCGCTTAAAATGGCACCTAATTGGCTCGCATTGGCCGTTTCCGCTAGCGTGGGAATCAGGCCTTAGTCTTATATATCGCGATTTTCCGAAACCGAAACACCGGTATATTTTAAAGACCCGAGCTGGATATGCTCCAAACCCAATTGACAAAGAAATCGTACATCGCGGTCCAGTGGGTGACCGGGAACGAGAGTTCAAGTCCATCGCCCTGCTCCCCCCCCCCAGACCAACAAATAAATACTTTTATATAGTGCTAATTCATTGTATACTCAGGTGACTTAACAACGTAGAGGAATTTTAAACCTTCACTTGCCACCTTTGGTTGTCCTTTACGAAACTAAAAGAGAAGAAAAACTTATACATAAAACCAACATAAAAATATGTATATCATATGTATACCAACCACGCATAGGAAGCTTTTTGTCACTGTTCCCTGAGGGCAAGTTTATTTTGATAGATTTTCTAGTTACATATTATTGTATTCAATACATAATTTATTTGCTTTTGGGACACAATTGAGAGCATGTGGAACCTGTACACATGATTCTACATGTACAGGTTCTACAGGTTCATCGTAATACCTACGTACAGGACGTAAGGCAGCGTCTGGGATGCTCTCGGACGCAGGTTCGAATCCTCGTCACGGCCCTTGTACATTTGTTCATTTGATGCATCACGCAATTGTGATTTCTGTGTGTAACCTACGTACAGCTTCATGATACCCACCAACGGTATAAAATCGATGTACTATATTGCCCGAACCTCTCACTCCCCAGCCAACCAGGCCGTCCTCTCGAGTTCATGCCCGTCACCCGTCTCTTTCCCCCCCCCCCACTCCCCCTTTTACCCAATTTCTTCTCAGGAAAAACTAATTTCCCGGCAATAAAATACTTAAAATAACTACAACCAACGACAAGTAGGCAACCCACACACGTTCAGTGTCAAGATCATAACACATAAATCATATAGAAAACTTTTAAAGTCTTTGCCACAAGCAGCATTAAAAATATATATAATCTGAAAACGAGATGGAGCCAAAATGTTAATAAAACCCCTAAAAAGGGGAAAAAAATAGGTGAATGTGAGGGTCTAGAATGCATTCACTTTCACCTGGAGGCTCTGCAAGATGGCAGGTGTTGCTGGGGAAAACCTCGGGCTTGCTGGGGAAGTTCTGGGGAAGTTCTGGGGAAGTTCTGGGGAAGTGCTGGGGGAGTATACTCCTTGTTGCATCGACGAAATATATTTTCCCCGCCAAGTGCCGGGAGGGAGGAAGCAGGGAACAAGTCACGGGGAATTCCTCGTTCTAGGGGGATACCTAATTGTAGTTGTGGTGGTGGTATTGGTGGTGGTACTGGTGGTGGTGTGGGTCGTGGTGGTGGTATTGGTGGTGGTGAGGGTCGTGGTGGTGGTACTGGTGGTCGTGAAGGGTCGTGGTGGTGGTACTGGTGGTCGTGAAGGGTCGTGGTGGTGGTGAAGGGTGGTGGTGAAGGGTCGTGGTGGTGGTACTGGTGGTCGTGAAGGTCGTGGTGGTGGTACTGGTGGTGGTGAGGGTGGTGGTGGTGGTACTGGTGGTGGTGAGGGTCGTGGTGGTGGTGAACGGGGTCTCTATCCCCGACCTTGCCATATATATATATATATATATATATATATATATATATATATATATATATATATATATATATATGTCGTACCTAGTAGCCAGAACGCACTTCTCATCCTACTATGCAAGGCCCGATTTGCCTAATAAGCCAAGTTTTCATGAATTAATGTTTTTTCGATTACCTAACCTACCTAACCTAACCTAACCTAACTTTTTCGGCTACCTAACCTAACCTAACCTATAAAGATAGGTTAGGTTAGATTAGGTAGGGTTGGATAGGTTCGGTCATATATCTACGTTAATTTTAACTTCAATTAAATAAAATTGACCTCATACATAATGAAATGGGTAGGTTTATCATTTCATAAGAAAAAAATTAGAGAAAATATATTAATTCAGGAAAACTTGGCTTATTAGGCAAATCGGGCCTTGCATAGTAGGATGAGAAGTGCGTTCTGGCTACTAGGTACGACATATATATATATATATATATATATATATGTCGTACCTAGTAGCCAGAACGCACTTCTCAGCCTACTATGCAAGGCCTGATTTGCCTAATAAGCCAAGTTTTCATGAATTAATTGTTTTTCGGCAACCTAACCTACCTAACCTAACCTAACCTAACTTTTTCCGCTACCTAACCTAACCTAACCTATAAAGATAGGTTAGGTTAGGTTAGGTAGGGTTGGTTAGGTTCGGTCATATATCTACGTTAATTTTAACTCTAATAAAAAAAAATTGACCTCATATATAATGAAATGGGTAGCTTTATCATTTCATAAGAAAAAAATTAGAGATAATATATTAATTCAGGAAAACTTGGCTTATTAGGCAAATCGGGCCATGAATAGTAGGCCGAGAAGTGCGTTCTGGCTACTAGGTACGACATATATATATATATATATATATATATATATATATATATATATATATATATATATATATATATATATATATATATACACCAACACTGAAGGCCATTCCGTCCCCCCCCTCCCCCTCCATCCACAGAATTACGCAAGGCAGACGTGACAACAGACATGACATTGAGCGTGTCATGCTGTTGACACAACCTTAGGTGCGTGCGTGCGTGCCTGCGTGTGTGTGTGTGTGTGTGTGTGTGTGTGTGTGTGTGTGTGTGTGTGTGTGTGTGTGTGTGTGTGTGTGTGTGTGTGTGTGTGTGTGTGTGTGTGTGTGGTCGACAATCTCACGTGCCGTTATTGTCTCCCGCAACAATTATGCGCCATATTTGCTCGTAATTTATGTCAACGGTTCGTGTTCATCTCATGAGGATAATGATCGTTTGTGACAGAGGGAACCTTAAGAATGTACCTTTGCTTCTTTTGTGTATATGCACTGGAGGTTTGTTTAGTTCGAAGGTAGACCTAGAGTTTACTTTCTTGGTAAACTATTGAGGTAGCCTTTATAACCCTTCAAAGGTTGGTAAGCCTGAGGCTCAATGTCAAACCAAGTAGTAATGTACACAGTGAATTGACAAAATCAATTACAATTGTGCCTAATTTGAGTAATTAAATTAGGTCTTATTAGTGAGGATGATGCTGGTATTCACTGTCACACAGGACAGAGGGTCATACACAAGGCAATCGGTCTGAACTGTAGGCTGAAGCACAAATATATCATGGCCAGAATTAATTACATTAGACAGTATACATGATTCAATTTACGAATTTATAAATCCAACTTTATATTGTGCACTGCCCCACAAGGGCAGGGATGGGTTCATAAGAGATGCAGCTTAGAAATAAAATAAATAAAACTGTTCTTCATTCTTTAAAATGGACAAGCAAATTTATAATAAATCGTTAGGAAGTCGTCCAGTACACCAGATTCAATAAAATAGTTACACAGTTGGTGGTACAATAGGCCAGGAGATCTAAAAAAAATTTACGGTTTCACATTCAATAACGTTGTGTTCAAATGAATACCTTAAAGGTTTGTCAAAGAGTTTACAATCTGAATATTCTGGTAGTGGCTCAGCCTCACTAACCTGCCAGATGTGCCTATATCCAAGGCGAATTCGCGCAATGACTACATCACATTCCCTCTTCCAGTTACAGTGCTGACCATACAAATACTTATTACAAAAGTTGTCATAGCTTTTAACACTGCAGCTTTCAGGTCTCTGTGCATTTCTTAGTTCTTCTAAATCTGAAGTCATTTCTTTAGCTTGCATGTTTTTAATAATTGATAGTCCACAGTAATAATCAGTGTTTTCTTTCCTGCAAGCCTCACTGACCTATCGATCTACAAAGTCCTGTTTTTTTAACCTCAACATGAGATAAAACCACACAAATTTTATAAAATAGTTATTATCATTGGCAAAAATTCCATTCCATTTAATATTACAATCTACATCAGACATTAATTGTGACGGGTTATTTAAAGACTGGTTATTTAAGACGGGTTAGACTGGTTATTTAAGACTGGTTAGACCGGTTATTTAAAGACTTAGAGTCACAAAATACCACACCCGCATCCCCCGCAATGAGCTTAAGGTACTCAGTTAAGGCACGCAGTGGATAGGTAAATACCAACAGTCTTGCTTGCCCAGTCGTCCAATCCAATACCTATTATAGGTATAGGTTAAGTAATAATTGAAATTACGAAGCAATAAGATGCTTATCTTAACATACTAAGAAGGTTAGGTAAGGTCGGTGTTTTCTATGAAGCTTTTCAAGGTAAACTAAAATATTCACAATAAATTAGTATGTCACATATGCACTTATTTAATAAGTCAATATTGACTGTAAGAAAGTGCGAGAACGGGTTGTCCAATCTCTCCATGATCCTTTCATTCGCTTCATATACCGCACATGCACAACCTGTTCTACCAGCACTCAACAGCACAGAACCATCGCCGTTGGGAGGTATTACATGATCCACAAGACAACAATGTCCTTACCCAATAGTAAGCATCACATCCAGAATCCTGACGAAGCATATACGAGCCTGGGTTTAGGACGCTTGCAGCCGCAAACACAATCCTAGACGAGGTGATTATAAAGTTAAATGCCGAAAGGGGTTACTTATCAAGCGAAATCAAGACGCAAACAACTTCTCAACAATAGCAAACATTTACTTCACAACACTCACACTACTTATAACGACAGTTATGGGAGCACTGAGCTCAGTTGCAGCTTACAGATTATGGGAACACTGAGCTCAGTTGCAAGATTATGGGAACGTGGTTACAACGCTTTAGTGTGTTCGGGTAACT